ATGAAAATAAACTCTTCTGCATGTTCCTTGAACACAGAATAAGAAATAATCGTTCTGAACTGCAGGAAAGGAGACTTAGGAGAATATTCATAGAGACTTCCATTGGGTGGGAGATGAAGGTTCCTCCCTCTCCTGTCAAAGAAGCTTGTGCAAAGAAATGTGTCTTGAGGACAGGAAAGGAAAAGAAAGACATCCAGGTCCCAGAATAAGTCTGTGCCTGTCCAGCTGTGGACAGCAGATGGTGACCAGTGGGACTCATGAGCATACAGCCCCAGTTACTGACTCCAGTTTGTGCTGAGCTGTGAGTTGTTACTTTAGTGGGTATATGGTTCAAGCCAACTACAGGCTCCTTGGCCTATAGAGTAAGTCAATCTTCTGGTCTACACTATTCCCCTGACTCTGTCCTACCAAATAGTGGCTGTGATACCAGCTCCTGGTCCTTCCACTACCTCAGGCAGGCAGGTGTTGAGATGTATACAGTACAGATATTTAAAAAACCTATGGTAATAACTTGTTTGATTTAGAATAATATGTACAAGATTTTTCCTATCTGATATGTCAAAGTATGCTTGGAGAGTCCAGCAATAGCAGTTCCCCTCTGAAAATCTTGCAACATAGCAGAGCTGTTTTGAATGATCTCTTTAGTATCTCCTTGTCTGTGAAAGGCAGTACAGAGTTCAATACATAAATTGTGTGTCTCTGAGGTGATGTTGAACCACGAGAATGTCACTAACAGCTATTGCTAGATCTTCAGTGCAATCTGTTGGAAGGACAGAACTGCTACAGAAACCAGAAAGAGGATTTTGAAATTTAAGAGTGAGAAGTGAAATCAAGAACATTTAAGGAAGTCCCTCTAGTTACATCTCGTTACTGGAAAAAGCTAGGGAAGATAGAGACAAGTACAGAGCTATGGACACAGACTGTATCCACTATGCATGATGTACTGTACTCTTCATGTCTCATAGAGTGAATACACAAGTAGTATATTTACAGAATGGGGCAGGGAGGAAGGAAGAGAACCAAAACTTGTCATGGTTTTATATGCTTAAATTTTACAAGTAAAATAATATAAGAAACTGATTTCTCATTCAGGAGAGGTTATGATTATAGATTATGAAGAGCAAATAGCTGATAAAGAATATTCTGCATGTCAGTGCCATGTTGTTTATCCAGCCTCACTTATTATGAACTTCACTGGCTGGTCAGAGTGTAAAACTTAAATAGATACATAATTTTCAATCTCCTTCAGCTGTAGCATATCACTATGAGCATGTTTGTGTGTAAGCTTCTACAAAAGCTTTCAAGAGTCCTGGTTTAATAATTAAAGTGGTTCACTGATTGATATTCATGTGTCAAGCTGTAGTTTCAGGACCGATTTCATTTGATCTAAGTGTGGGCTGCCAGAAGGGGTGGTTTTGTCTTCCCCCTTGGTCCCAATGACAAAGCTCTCTTCTGTTCGAAGTGGTGCTCTGTTCCAACCTGGCTGAAATCTAACCCGTGAAAAAAATAAATCAGTGCAAAAATAACAATTCGTTTTCAGCTATATCAGCTGCAGTGTCATTCTGCAGCCACAGGCACCCTAATGCTGGCAAAAGGGAGGGGGAAATGAAGCAGAGCTGGTAACAGGGGCTGAGGGACCAGTGGGACCTCCCTTTTCCACAGCAACTTACATTTAGCTTAGCTTAATCTGAACTGCAACCTCATGCATCCTCTGCATTTAAAAATCCCATTTACTGGCCCCTCTGAGTTGGTAAAATGCAGAATTTTCTATTTATTTCTATTGCCAAACCAATTTAATAGTTCCTTCCGGGTCAGAGTTATGGTGGTGCTCAGATGCTCTCCCCAACTGGACATACTTAGAGCAATGTAAAACACCTTTATCCTACTATAATATTAAGAACCTCTGATTATTAAATTATTTCCCAATGTTTTAATTATTGTCATTCCTCCAAAAACAAGGGCAACAAAAGGATCAATTTTAAAATATGTTTAATTGCTGCAGTTTAGGTTGCGTGGTATCTGCAAAAGCAAACAAAACCCTCTCTAAGTCAGCAGCAATGTGGATAATATAATGCAAAGTTCACTCTGCATTTCTCTCTCATAAAGCTGCTTCTTTTCTTGCTGTCCTGGAGTCTCTTGCCTACCTACTTACTGTTCTACAAGTTTGCCTCCCCATCTGTGATTTTGTGGTTATTTGACAGCTGACATTCAGGGGAGTGGGGTGGGTTATTGCTGCTGTGGTACAGAAGCATGAAAAGCTGGTATTTTTAAGGCCTAAGACCTGATGGCAGATCCAAATAATGCAAGTCCAAACAAACTTAGAACTGCCAAAGGCCAGCTTTGTATGCCCTAGTACTTCGTAGTTGTACATCGGATCAGAAACATGGATTTAGCCAACCCAGCTCTGGTTTCCTTGCGCAGTCTGACTTTGCTCCTCATATGTCAGTAGGCTGAATCCAAAATATTATTTTAAACTACACATCTATGAAAAGTGAAACTCTTTATTCTTCAGACCTGCAAAAAAATAAGCTGCTTTGAAAGTGTCAACCAGATTGTGCCTGACAGAATGGTGGTTCCCTGTCCTCTTTTATGTGCTCCTGTCGTTCATGTGTTACATCTTTGCTCTCTTGCATTTGTCACTTGTTTGATCCCTTTCAACTGAGCGGGACACTCATTACCTTTCTCCTTATTCCCTGTAACTTATTTCTCTCCAAGTCTGGATCTCCTTCGTATTTCTCCAGTGTTGTCTCTGGGTCTGTTTTGTTTGGAGCAGAAGCTCCCCCTGCTGCTCTATTTTGTAGTGTGGAACATTGTACAGTCAAAAACTTGGGTAGGTTTCCAGTTATCTAACAAAGCAAGTTCTAGGGGAATAAAGTAAATTATTATTGGAAATTATATAAAATAATTTTTATTTGCATTTTCAGCTATTCCTGAATTTAACAGCAGCATCAAGTAATTTCTCCATAATAAAATTAAATACACTTTCCAGAAGCCTTTATTAGAAATCTAATCTATTACCAGTAGCAAACCCTGAGAGAAGCTGGGTGCATCTGAAAGCTTACAGTCAGCAAAACAAGAAATCAGTTCTTCCCCATCTGTTTCTTCTCCAAAACTCCCACACACCACACTGTTCCTACAAGGCCACATATCTGTCTTTGGAGAAGACGTGCTGCAAACTGAATTAACCAGCATGTGGTTTTCCACAGACCTTATATCCACCAGTACAGACTTGTAGCTGTTTTCATATTGTTATGGCCCAGTGTTATACTTACATACGCATAATGGTTTGCCTGTCAATTAGCCTAGCGATTTCAGTGAAATAGGGTCTGCCTACAGATATCTCAGTTTCTGTGCAGTTTTGTGTCTTGCTGGGACTTGAATTCGTACCGGTTTTCTCGTACAAATGGTCAGGGCATTTTTGCTTCTTCACGCTCACATTCAAATCAACTTATGGCATGGAAAGGTCATTGCTAATGCTAAAACCTGTTCCGTAAACCTCCTCCACGGTCTGGTTAGCACTGAACTCCCACTTTGGCAAAGCAAAAACAATAAATGAGTTTTCATGGTAAACACTGTACCAGCAGCATAGACTTCTGTAGTTAGCGTTTCTCCTAACTTCCTCAATTTCATTTAATATCAGAGATGTGGCGCTTGTTGTAAGCCTTGAGCTTCCTTCCCTGCCATCAGTTGAAACGTTAGCCTGTTAAGAGTGCAAAAGCAAAGCTGCAAAACAGGCAGAATGTAAAAATAGCTGAAATGTTATTGCATATAGAATCATAGAATCATAGAATTGTTAAGGTTGGAAAGGACCTCTGAGATCATCGAGTCCAACCTGTTAACCTAGCTGCCTGGTCCACCTCTAAACCATGTCTTCAAGCACCACATCCACACGTTTTTTGAATACTTCCAGAGTCTGTGATTGCACCACTTCCCTGGGCAGTCTGTTCCAATGCCTAACCGCTCTCTCTGTGAAGAAATTTTTCCTAATACCTAATCTAAATCTCCCCTGGCACAACTTGAAGCCGTTTCCTCTCATCCTATCACTTGTTACTAGGGAGAAGAGACTGACCCCCACCTCGCTACAACCTCCTTTCAGGTAGTTGTAGAGAGCGATAAGGTCTCCCCTCAGCCTCCTCTTCTCCAGACTAAACA